TTAATTTCACCACAGATCTGGGGTGTAGAGCACCTAGTTCCAACCTGCGCTGGTATAAATCGGAGTAAAGCAGCAGTCAGGGTGATTGGTGATCCAACACTCATTGATTTACTCCAGTCACTCGCTCATCGATGGTCAGTTGCATCTTTATCACTTTTCTATCGCTACTACCGTGGTTACTTTTCCCACGAACTTCACTCATTGATTCACTCCAGTCACTCAAAAGTGGTCAGTCGCCTCCTTATCATTCTTCTCTTGCTACTATTCTACTTACTGTTTCTGTCAACTCCGCACATGCTCAGGAACTCGGTCTACCAGACTCGCTGTTTCATCTCATCGAAACAGCGTTAAACCACCACACTGTGGGACAATACAACACTCACTAACTCACCCACTCGCCACACTACAGGTCACAATACTTCTCATTCTGCTTCTTCCCTCGCACTGCTCGACTTTGTAATTCCCTCCCATAGTCTCTTTTACCAAGCTTTATCACAACTTTGTTCAGGAAACGCTTTTGTAAATGTTAACAGTGCTGTTTGCCGCTGGCCGCTTGACATTTTTGGGGGTGTGGCCCTGTGTTCAGAAATTGTAAGATGCAAAAAACAATTGCTGAGAAACCACACGCAAAATCACAGCATTCCGCAGCTGGGAGGAAGGGAGGGAGGCCGGAACTCCATCACAACATGTGCATCTTGAACCGGCTAAACTGGGGCCCTACCGCTGTGGAATGCGCTCGTTGCATTGCTGTCAGAATGCCTCTCCCATGGGGATGCCGTTAGAGATGTACGGCATTGCTGAATGCCAAAACGCAGAGTCGAGCTTCACAAAAGTTGCAGCGGGGGTTCGGGGTGGTACCTCTCTCGCGGTATTCTCACAAGCGTTGCTTACCGGGGCGATGTGGCGGATGCGTGAGAGAGTTGAGAGTGCTTTGGTAGAAACGCGCGGAATGTAAGAGCTCGAGCATTAGGTGCGGAGATGCACCGAGCGGGTTGGGAATTGATCGAATTCTTCAACCACTTTGGAAAAGAGGTTGGAAAGTCAGCCGTTTGGGGCTTGAGTAAGTAATATCTCTGTTGCCGAAAAGGTCGGATAGTTTGAGAGTTAATCATATGAACATTATGGCGGGACCCCGGGGTCCCGAATTAACGGAAGACAAAATGGCAAATAATTTATTTATTTTTGGCGACTCCGTCCCACCGCGCACATGAACGCCGCGACAACACCTGCCGAGGATCATACTGTTGTCATGTCGTCCAAGCGCAGCGAGGACGAATGCGCAGAAGAACTGAACAAGCGAAACTTTGATTAGCACATCGTGTAGAGCTCGTCGAGAGGAATAGATTGCCGTATCGTTCACCTTCAACAGACATCAAATGACGTCGCAAAGCGGTTTATGCGAGAGCCGGGGGCTTATGGGACCCCGGGGTCCCGCCATAAGGTTCATATACGCGAGCAGACTAATGCCCACTTGTCGGCCAGGTGCCGAGTCACCTGCCACTGGGGGTGTTCTCAGACGTGTAGAGGGCGCTCTATCAAAAACAAATCATTATTATTAAAGGTAGTGTTTGGCGCTGGATTGTAGGTGTAAGTGAAAACGGGGGTTAGTGTGTGGATCGGTAGAGTCACATGGAGGTAGTGCTTGGGAAGAGGATGTGATGCAGTGTGCAGGGTGGAGGAGGTCTGTTTCTGAGATGGGTTCTCTTGGTGCCCAGTGAATGCTTACGAAGGGGAGGACCTAATGGTGAGTGCTGGGATATACAATTGCAGGAGGCCTGGGAGGCAGGTATGGATGCCCTTCGAGTAACATGGACTTGACTGGGACGCTGCCATGCCAAAGGCACGCATGCACGATAGCCGTGAGGATGCAGTGGTGGTTGTTGACAACTAACAAGGAGTCGCGTGTGGGTTAGATGTGCTTTAGTAAACGAGTGAGACAGTGACCAGGGGGCCTACTGGCTCCATTTCACTGGCCAGTGATGTTCGGCCTCTTCTGGGGTTGCTTCCACCAACAGACCTACGTGGGCCAGGAGCTGGCCTGGTTGTGGTGTCACGGGACATGCCATTCAGATGACCGCTCTTGCATTGAGAGAACACGAGGCTTGGGGACAGCTCGACAGTTCTGGCACAGTCCAAGCCCAGCCCAATCAATTCGACTTTTGTTTCTGTAAATTAGATGTGAGATGTGATTATTTAAAGATCCGTGTGAGCTTGTTACACTCTACCTACCACAGACATTTTACATGTGAATGCCCTGAAAGATGCGTATCTGCTTTTTTATCTTCATGCGTTTGTGTTTTGTCATTTTAATGCCAACAATATCACATTGTGAAATACGATCGAGTTAATGCACTATACAGGTCACACTTATTTGTGGTTTTATTTGGCTTCTGTCACAAAGAGTCACGTACACAATATATTGCACAAAATACATAAATAACAATCATGAAGTTTGACTCAGATTAGCACTGTTGGTTATGTACGGTGTGAAAGAAGTTCAACATACATACAAACATTGGTGTACACATGAACCCAATCATTTGAGTGCATAGCTTCTCTCCCTTTTTACCTTTGTTCACCTGGGGCGGCTGCGGATTTGCTAGGGGGATGCCTTCCACGACAGTCAAAGGCTTCCTCTAACGTTCCCCATCCCTGCTAATGCTCACTGGTGCGCCCTGTGCCATCTATTGAGCCCTGATGATCTCTTTGGTTCCCAGTTGAAACCACAAAATGAGTCAAAGATGTTAAAGGCACTCAAATATCACATCGTGAAATTATAATTCGACATGCTTGTTTTCAAGTGGCAGCAATTGGGTTAATGACAATACACATTACCATGTAAATTATGTTAAAATGAAGCTTGACAGACAAGGAATCAAGTGTTGGTTAGATGGAGACACAATGTGTGGGCACATCAGGGCAAGTATTGCTGCAGTATCAAGATTGCCATCTTGAAGATTTCAATCACTTTGTAAGCAGTAATCAGTCATCAGTATTGCCTCCTCCCTAAATATAATGGAAACAAGGCACTTTATAATTATGTACAGCAATCATTGGCCCCCTAACTGGTAGACTGATTCCCCAGATCTCATGCAAATGACACTCGGCCTGGTCTCTTGATGTTGGTGTCCCACCTGGTGACACAAAATCGACTTGAAACCTGTACCTGACGGCGAGGCAGCCCCCCAGGGCAGAGTGACGGCCACGGTGCCCGGCCTGGGCTGCGCAGGCAGCTGCCAGGAGCAGGGTGGGGGGGGGAGCGCACTTCGTGCTGGGACTCGTAAGTGGCGGCGATTGCATCGAAGCAAAACGACCCGGATTTGAACTAAATACAAAGGCCACTCGGAGGTTCATCAGTGCAAGCGGGGTCCAATCCCCTACAGCTGGTAGCCACTTTCCACCACAAGCACAAAGGGAACATGTGTTAGAAAAGGGCCCGCCCCCCTCTTTAAAATCGTGAATAGGAGTTTATTCCCGCTGGCATATGCAAATGTAAAAGCTCCACCTGAAGGACCCGATTTAAAGGTATTTCATGGAAATTCACGGTTTAACACAGTTGGCACCTTAGACAGGTATCCGATTGGCCTCAGCTCACACAAGAGTGGGAAGCTTCGTGTTTCTCATCAGGAAATCGCACAAATGTCCTTGTTCAATGAGGGACACTTTTAGTTCCCTTCCCGGCCATCTGGGCTGCGTTTAGCTCCACACATCTTCACCAATGCATTGGCCGGACTGCTGGCGATTCTGCAACAGAAGATGGAGCAGTGAGGGTGCATTGACGTTGCAGTTAGTGTGCATTGACAGTCCAGTTAGGGTGCTTGACGGTGTAGTGTTTCACACAATTGAACCACTTATGAAGCTGAACGTAATGTTGCATCATAGTCTATGTACAGGGAGTCCAGCTACTGCAAGGCAATATTGATTACCTCTAGACTGCTAAATGTACCAACTTTATATTCAAGCGTTGCACAGAATGAAAACCTTTTGATGATGTGATGATGAACGTTTCACAGAGGATGGATACCAAAGTCTGGTCAGCGTTTCTGAGTTGCATTGACGATGACTCCAGTTCACTTGCGGGAACACTGCGAATGTTTTTGATTAGAGCTCTTTGGCAAAAGCACCACCCGGATGGATTTAATCTAAAACTGATGTTTGAAAATAGTTTCTCTCATTGCAAAAAGACAAACTTTTGTTTATCCTGCTGTGGGAACACTGTTGTGACACCCCCATCTCACAATGGGAAGATCTAAAGCGTAAATCCTGGTTGAGAGTTAACTCGGCCCCATCATCCCTCGAGGGTCCATAAAACGAGCCCCATCTTGTGTCAACAGCGGTTGTGCTGTGGGGTGAGACTGTCTCCTGGCATAGGAATGTGACATTGCCACCACTGCTTTAGGGCTGCCACGACCACACGTCCTAGTGTGCACCGAGGTGGGTGACACATTGTGCCCTGGCTGTGGTTCACTGTGTGTGTGGTCTTTTTTATGCACTCAGGACCTGGGTAAGGCAGCAGGGATGGCACTGGCAAACGCCTATGGGTGGAACACGGACCTACGCCATCCACAGCTCGAAGTAGGTTCAACACTCGTTGACAAGCATTTACGATAAACGCATTCTTATTTTAATGTCATCCACAACTATGCACACATTGCATGATGCATTTAAGAAGCACATGACTAACTGGGATTCGGTATGGTGCTATAAAACACTTTAAAGTCACGGGAAATGTCAGTTGTAAGTAAAATACTTGCGTGTACACGAAAGATGTACACGACCAACGGACCTGTTATTCCACTGGTAAACTCTGTTATGTTAAACACTGAAGTCCCTTTTCTTGGTTTCAGACTTACAATACCACTATGATCAAACTCTGGTTTGGCACCGCAGAGAGGACATATGGCAAATAGCATCGTGGATACCGACTTTGTGCACTGTGGATTTTCAATTTCCGACAAAAATGTCCTGCGGGTAGTTCTACAATTTAGGCAATCTCCACATCATATCTGGGGAGTAATTGTGAAGGTAATTAATTTATATAGTTTATTGAAAACTTGACTTATGCAGTAAATTTGTTTCACGTGCACATGAAAATGAATGCATCGTCACCACCTTCCCAGCGTGAATAACAAAGTGGATGACTGATCTATTTGTGAATGATAGACTTAACTGGCGCTCATGCAAATATCCACTTGCGATCACACCAATGGTTATGCAAATTAACGCGTCCGCAACGCACATCAGAACTCCTGGAACGAGCCCTGTGCATCCTTGCGGCCAATCAGAAGTTCCCCTGCGATGTATCCAGCTGGATGGAACTCTGCGGAGCTGCAGAATAATGACATCTATGGAAACATTTTTTTGTCGGTGTCAAAAATGATGGAGAAAGAATAGGCCTTAGCCTTTCCGGCAATAATACAGGCGTTAAAACAGGTCTCTGGTCTTACACTGGTGAGACAAGGCCATAAAGGAGGTTGTCTTGTCAAAGGGCGTTTGCATGTTTGACTACAAGCAAGTGGTTAATGCAGACTTGATGCCTTGCAATAGGTGTCTATTTGGTGTTTGACCATCTTAACACCTCCTCTGTATTAATGCCGGAAAGGGCAAAGCCTATTTTCTTTTCATCATTCAGAATAATCATCTCTTCCAATCGGCGGCATTTTGCGGATCATTGCAGTGCAATGGCTCGTCGTCAATGTCTGTTTCGCCATCCGTAAATGACCGACATCTCTTTCGCGCGTGTAGGTGCTTCTGTACGCAGCAAGCAAATCTGCCTGAACGCTCGGTGGCCTGAACATCCACTTTTAATAGACATTCCATCCAAGCTGCACAACAACACGTGTCAACTCTAGCAGTCTATAAGTACTGCAGCGCCTCCGTGTGGCCGCACGTGACGCTACGTGGCTTTGTTCTATAACAAGCGTGGCGCCGTACATGGGTAGTGGCTACACCTGTGACTTAGCGGCAGCAGGGATTTTGCCGGAGGCATTGGCGAGCACCTGGAGTTGTCGGATCCCAGTGAGATCTGCAGAATTGCGGATCACACTGGTTCACGATCAGATTATTGAATGCGATCTGAAGCATGTGATTGTGCCCCACGAGACCAAAATCGCGCTGGCCAAAGTAAATGTGTAACTCCTTTTGGATATATATGTGGAAATTAAATAATTATTTATCCCATTCCACCGTATATTTATCATTTTACATTTGTAACACGCACAGTTTACGTTCACTGCCATGCGGAGAGAAAACGATTCAGAGGCGCAGGAAACCACAGGCAAGCGGGAAGGTAGCCAAAGTTAGCGTCAACAATTTCCCAAGCTCTGTGGTCCTCTATTTGGATGTTTGACCAACTCCATTCATAATGCATGATACTTGATACATTACACTGTCCCTCGTATTCACGTTTGGTTGCCCTGTACTTGGCTGTGTTATTTTGCAGGTGTTCGTGCATTTGAATGATTTTTATTGCGTTGTGGCATTTCCTGTTACACGGTGAGTCAGCAGCAGCTCACACCTTATCTAAGCCAATTGTACATAAACTGTTTATTTCACAATCTCAATTATGTCATCAAAAATTTTAAACAAAGTATTTTGTGTGTGGCTGTCTTATCCTGAATCCAGTTGTCCATCCATGGGATCCAGCTAATCCTCCAATCTTTCTGGATATTTACCAATTGTTTCTTCCTGTTATCTGTGAATCACGAATTAGGATACCTGGACAAGACGACTTACGACCTTTGTATGCAAATTGTTGACAGTCCACAGATAACATACATTTGAGAAAACAACTATTCCCAAGAATTACAAGATATTGACAAGATGTTTCACTGACAAAACAAAAATTATTTATGAGTACTTGTATCTCTCGGTTTTTTTTAAAGCTGTCAACGATGTAAAAATATTTTATTTTTTAAGTACATATGTTGAACTTCTTTCGCACCGTACGTGGCCAACTGTGCTCATCGGAGGTGTGAGGGAAGGACAACAACTACACACAAAGAGCACAGTTGTAAAGAAATTTGTTTTCAACTTAAATGTTCAAGTGCAGAGCTTAATGTTTGCAAAATGTTTAATTGTATTGCATATGAACAAAATCAATGAAAGCTGTTATATGTTCTTCCCAGGTTTCCGTTGTCAAAAAGAGCGTACTGCATTCACTCCGGATTACGTTCCACCGTGGCGTATGCCATGGCCAGCCTCGCGGGAATCCAGGTACTGTGCGCAAGCCAGGGACGTGAATGTCCCATTGTTAAGCTCGTGGTACGTGGGCTGTCAGAATCAGAATTACACTGGAGGAATCCGATGAGTTATAAAGCTGTCCAGTAAGGGGCGGGTCAGAAGATTATTACACGATCGGAGTGCAAAGTGTAGGAAAGGTAAACAGATCACTTAAAAAATATATATACAAATTAAACTAAACAATTTGTTATCTTACCAGGGTGAAGCCCACCGAGCTATTAACTACTGCGACACCGCTAGAGGGGACAGGGCGGGGCGTTTCAGGCTACGCCGAGGCCAAACAACTCCATATGTTTCAGTCAGTTTCAGGCAATATATCAGATGATGGCATTTCGCTTGAAATTGCCAAGCATCTTGGGGACAGAATTTAAGAATTTTATTTGTTTGGCTATGTTGGGTGGTGGGAGGGCCTTACAACATAAAATCGACCAGATCGTGTCTGTGCAAAACCTACGCATTACATCTGAATTAATTACACAAACAACTGTGTATGTTTGGTGTATTGATGTCATCAGTAACAACCATTTTCTTAATGCAGGTTCAAACCATCAAGGCATCTTAGAAGATAATAACTGCTTAATGCTCAAAGCGAATGCGTGGCTAAAGTGCGATACACAGGAGTCACGAATGTGTGTTGTGTGTTTTTGTCAGCCACATGCAGTTGTCATGGACCCCATGTGTGGCATGGGGACACTGCTATTGGAGGCTGCTATGGCATGGAAGGTGAGTGGGGCTTTATAGGCCGCCTGTATTTTTCTTCCATAAGGAATTCGCCAAACATCCAAAAACGTCTTGGCCATCATTGAGGTTACCATGCAAAACTAAACGATCCATGGGATTTAAAAGCTGAGTGAACCTCACTGCTTGGGCACTGATAACGGTGTCAATTGATTACTCAATCGGATAACTCAGAGCAGCAAGCATCGCCCCTTATTGGTAAAATATTGTCCGCTTGCAGGCCGAGTGCCGAGTCAACTTGTCCCGCACAGAGGTAGCTGCTACTGGGTGGGGTGGGGGGGGTCTCCTTTGAGAATGCCTGAGCTGGGATGTGATACAAGTTACTTATTGCGTGTAAAGTGCTCAGAGACTCCCCAGTGTGATAGTGCTCGATCAAAAGCAAGTCCGTTTTATTTATTATCGCCATTTATGTTGTAAATAAACTAGAGAAATGGCATGGAGCCAGGTTTGCAGATTTGGCCGTGCAGCCATCGGAGTCAATCTTGAGGAAGCTCTGGGATCTATGACGCAGTGGACGATTCACTGGCTGTGATATCATGGGTGCGATATTTAAAAAAAAAATGTCACTGAAATTTTCTGCGAGGTCCACTGATGACAGGAGGGCTATCCTGGCTCCGTCGGGGTCATAGAATTCATGGCCAAAAGGAGATCAATAGTCCAATTTATAACAACAACAACAACAACAACAACCGCCATTCGCCACTAAGTGGCGGTGACGTCACCACGACGCTTGTGCCAGGCTATGTGCACCCTGAGGCCACGTGAAGTGTCGAACGCCCGCTGGCAGGAGGTCACGGGGCAGACCCAGGTGCCACGGGTCGACTGACTGAGATGACTGGCTGATGCACCACCTGTGCCCCCTACTGTGCCAACCTGCTGTGCTTTAGCCACCCGGCGCTCCGCTCGCTGTTGTGAGCGTCGCTCCTCCGCCCTCCGTTGTTGTTGGAGGGCGACTGCCTCCAACTGCCCAGTAGCATCCTTCACGAGCCTCTTCCACAGAGGCCGATCTTGACACCGCTGGTACCAGTCATCGGCAAGTCCACTCAGCTCCACGTCCTCCTGTACCACATCACTCCATCTCTTCTCTAGCCCGTGCCGCGCCCGCTTAGCCCCCTCAATCCGGCCAAACAAAAGCTGTTTCGGCATGCGGTGGCTGGGCATGCGGGCTACATGACCCAGCCATCGCAGCCTTGCCTGCCGGAGGAGCTCACCGATGGGACCCTGCCCAGATCTTTCAAGGATTTGTGAGCTCCTCACACAATCCAGTCTGGTTAAACCCAGGATGGATCGTAGGCAGGCCAGCCTAAATGTTTCTAACCGGCGAAGATGTTCCATTAGGGGGGTCCACGTTTCGCAAGCGTAGAGAAGGGAGGGAATGACCGTGGCCGAGAAGACCTGAAGCTTAGTGCGGAGCGACAGACCAGGTAGCTTCCACACAGCGTTACGCAACCGATGAAAAGATATTGCCGCTCGACTGATTCGGAGTGAGACCTCTGCTGTTAAACTGGAGCCAGTCATAAGCACACTGCCCAGGTATGGGAAACTCTCCACTCTCTCCACAACTGCCCCATCACCGATTGGGAGTTGTGGGGGTGGAGTGTCCGATGGTACAAAATACCCAGGCAGGTGCTTAGTTTTGGTGGGGCTGATGGTAAGGCCCCACCTCTTAGTGGCACGCTCCAGTCTCAGCAGCAGCGTCTCCAACTCCTCCTCTGACTGAGCAGCTATTACCAAGTCATCAGCATACATAACGTGGTTGAGCAATAGGGAGCCATCCCTTGACCGCACCCGGGCATCGATTAGCCTCCCATTATATCTGTACCATATGGAGATTCCCCCGGTACAGCTATTGAAGGCTTCACGAACTACGTGGTCAAAATAGATGTTAAATAATGTGGGAGCCAGAGGACATCCCTGTCGCACCCCAAGGTGTACAGGGAATGGCTCTGACTCCCGGCCACGTAGTTTTACCCGGGCCCGCTCACCATCATGAAGGTCCTTAATGATCGTGAGCAGAGGGTCAGGTACTCCAAAAGCACGAAGAACGACCCAGAGCCCAGGCCTACTGATGGTATCATAGGCCTTGACCAGGTCAATAAAGCAGAGATGTAGGTCTTGTTGGAATTCCCTACACCTCTGCTGTAGCAGACGGACAGAAAATATGGCATCTGTGCAGGACCGCCCTTTCCTGAAACCACATTGGGGCTCCGCAAGCCTCTCTTTATAACAAACACAAATTCACACACATTAGTCTTAAAGCATGAACGAAGCATGACTTACATGAATTATGTTCAGTCCACAGTCCGTAACACGATGTACGTAAATATAATTGTTGGATCATTGTGGTCGCGCCAGGCAAGAGCACAGATTTACGCAACAAAAATGTTTTTTTTTTTTCCCAGACCGTGCGCTGCCTTGGAACAGATGTGGACGCACAGCAACTTGCGCACGCAAAAGAGAACATTCACTTTGCAGAACTGGATCATAGGATTGGGTTGCTTCAAGCTTCCGTCACAGGTGAAATATGGCAATCTGTGCATGTTTGTATATTTTTACTTTGCAGCCTAGAGTAACTTTTGACTGTGTTACTTTTGAATGTCTCTTTTTAATAATAAACGTTTGATCCCATTATGGCTGAGACATGACTATGGAATGTTGTGTATGTGAACCCGTTGATGCCTTTTAGCCCTGCCGATCCCCTGCAGTGCTATTGACGTCATCATCTGTGACATTCCTTTTGGACAGAAGTATAGCAGTGATGAAGAGATGAAACATCTAATGCCAAAAATATTACAAGAAATGATGAGGTAAGCATGTTTTGTAATAATTTTTAGTCAATGTCGTATTGCCTGGCGTGAGAATGGTACTTTTCTGTAGTTTTGAAAAATCATATAATAGCCAATTCCAAACTGAAACAATCATGCACCTTTCCTACACCCGATGTTATCGTCATCTCTGATGGGTCCCATTGACGAAACCTGTCGAGGCACGCGTGCCCAAGGGGCACGGTCCAGCAGCAGAGCCATAGACTTCCAAGTTCAAACTCCAGTCAGGGCTTGCTCCTCAGTGCCACCTCGTGGCAGTCCCGAGTGGTTGTCCTACAAAGAAACCGGCTGCCACGCCAGCCATGCGGCATTCCCATCGCTTGGTCAAGGCCACCACCAATGGAGAGCCGCGCTACTGCACGAGATTTTAGGCAGGGAGATGATGTGATGGAAATCACAAGAGCCCTTTTGGTACACCCATATAACAATGACGTTGTAGACGTATGGAACACAGCCGCTACACACAGGCCATTAATGAAAAGTGCGGGTTGAGCTATTTTCTCCAGGAATTTTTTGTGGCAAAATAATTTGCTTCATCGTTTTTTCCACGCAAACTTTTACTGTCAATTATTACTCTGTGCCAGATCTTAGTTTTTCAAACACTGCTTGGTTAAAGCATGAAAGAATTGGTGATATTGTTTTTTTTTCCAACACAAAACTCTTTAACTGTACCGTGAAGTTAAAGCCAATGGGACCTTCGCATACTGAGGCCTGGTATGGTGACAAACGCCTCCACCAAATGATTATGCGAAAGGTTTTGGGAATCTAGGGAGGTCGAGCTTGACACTCACCTGCAGGGGCAGCAAGTTGCCAGCACGAGGCAGCACCACAAGCAGGCTGCTATCCTACTGTGAATGGACAGTGTCCATTCTTTCCTCCTTGCACGCGCGCACACTGAGAGTGGGACTCGCCGACTGCCTACAGGGAACCTAGAAAAAATCCTGAGACTAAAGGAGGCGTATGTGTAAAGATTAGGCGTGGGGGAGACCTTCATCCATCAGTGGCTTGACTATAACTTCTGACAATGATGATGATAACTGTTCGAGTACTTTTGCATGCTATAAATAATTAAATCAGCCGATAAATTCTCAACATGTAGATTATCGTGGTCTCGATGTTCCGTCACTTCTACATTATTAACCTTTTCTTCCAGGGTGCTACGAGTTGGTGGCAACATCGTTCTTCTCGTCAGCTCCCAAATGTCCTCTCGCATACGCAGTCTGTCTCAAGAGCTGCACAAACTTTGCGACAAGAATACCGAGTCTTCGGGTGAATCAGCTGCTGCTGCTTCTGCTGCCAAAACAATGGTTTTTCAGGATACAAGTGATCCACAAGCAACATCAAATGAAGACGAACAGCGGTGTGTTCAAGCAAGAGCCGAATCGTGCGTTGAGAGCGAAGAGGTGACGTGCGACTCAAGGCTGACGTGTGAAGGCGTGTACCCTGTGAGTCTGGGGGAAACCGACGCCTGTATCCACAGGTACAAGAAAACAGCAACTCCCACGTGAGGATGTTGCCCAGGGGATGCTCACCAAGGGGAGGACCTAATGGTGAGTGCTGGAATATACTCTAGCAGTAGGCCTGGGAGGGAGGGTGGGTGCGATTAGAGTAACATGTTTTAAGTCATGTTTGCTCTAAGCCAGGTGAGAGTTCATTGAGACTCAAGGTCGTTTTTCCAAGGGTCACAGAAAGCAATGGAACAGTGACCACACACCCCTTGGGCTGCACCGCAACCTCTCAATGGCTGCGCCCACTGTACGATCCTCCCCTACCCCACCTCACACACAGTGGTGGCACAGAAGCCTCCTCGCACTTCTGTGTGTGAGAGGAGGGCCGCGCAGGAGATGTGAAAGGGATACCTTCACTCACAGCCATCCATGCCTTGGAAATGAAGAAGTAGCCTCAGTCATTCCAACCCTGACCACAGTGACGCATGGTGCATCACACAGACAGGGTAAGTGCTGTTAACGAGCACCTCTGAAGGCCAACAGAAGGCTTGCACCACTACGCCCGGCTACCTTCGTCTCCCCACTCGTGATGTGTATGTACCACCGAGTCAACCTAGGAGGCCAAAGTCCAGTTTATATATTTGGCGCTTAATGTTGGCCGTGAACCCCTGGTTGGCAGGTTCGTAGTGCATTGCGCTAACCACGACCCACTCATGTGGGACTGTGTATGCTCACTTGCATACACAGTCCCACATGTACACACAATACTTGCTTGCAAATGAAACGCTTGACCTGACACTCATCCCCTCACGAACCGTGGAAATGCTGCTTTTCTTGTGTATCTGCCTATCTGTATCACGCAGGGCCTTGGGTTGGTTTGGAAACTGAGCCGTATACAGACCTAATTATTTAGTCATTTGGCATTGGAAGTGAAGTACAAGCATCCAGACATCCACCCTTAGTCTTTCCCTGTGGAAGAGATATGTGGATGACACTTTGGTCATTTGGCCACATAGCCTCCCAGCTTTGAACCATTTCCTAGACCACATCAATTTCAGACACCCATCCATCAAATTCACCATGGAAGTAGAGAAAGATGGCAAGCTGCCAATCTTGGATGTTCTGTTTGAGAGGACTGATGGCTCTTTGGGACATTCTGTTTACAGGAAGTCCACCCACACAGATTCCTACTTGAAGCCTGATTCCCACCACCACCCGGCTCAAAAGAATTCTATCAAAACATTATACCATAGAGATCATTGCATTTCTGACCAACACCACCTGACCAGTGAATTAAAACATGTACATCTAGCCCTCAAGATGAACGGTTACTCTGACCGTATCATCCGCCAAGCTGTTTCTCCCTCCATACAGAAACAACCACTTGACACTCCGATCAAAATCATCACACTGCCATACATTGCAGGCGTTACTAAAAAGATCTCCAAAATTCTAAACAAACACAAGATCCAAGTTCGATTCAACACAGTACACAAAATCCGTGATCTGATCCCATCCGTAAAGGATGTCATCCCTGACTTACAGTACCCCGGTGTTTACAAATTGAGTTGTATCTGCGGTGACTGCTATATCGGGGAGACAAAACGACATATTTCTGACCGAATTCGCGAGCACAAATCAGATTTGAAACATGGCAGAACTAATTCGTCGGCCGTGGCTGATCATTGTCTCAACACAGCGGGTTCTCATGAGATTGTTTTCTCTGATACCAAAGTACTATGCAAACCTCCCGGTTATTACCAAAGATTTGTCCATGAAGCCATCCAGATATACAAACATTGACACAACTTCAACCGAGAGGATGGTTTTAAATTAAGCAACCACTGAAAAGATGTCATAAACCAAGTCAAAACTTTAGCTACCTTATAAGCACACAGCATATTCTTTCCAAATTTTTCCATTTTGTTTCCATTTTTCCATTGCCCCCGCGCAGCGACCCACCGCATCCCCCGCACCATCAACATAACAAAAGACGGATTAACTTAGCCCCGAACCCCATCAATGTCCCATACTTGGCTCCTCCCCCCCCCTTAACCTGTATTTAAGCTCGAGGCTCTCAGAGCCTCCCCACTTGATGCAGCGATCTTGCTGTGACTGTTCCACCTGAAGACGGAAGCTTGTGTTGCCTCCGAAACGTCGTGATTTAATTTAGTTTTCTTTTATTTTACCTACGTGACTTTACTGAAAAAAAACAAAGAGTATGAATCCTTTCAGTCATGAAAGCTTCAAATCTAGAAGACTTGTAGCCTTAAAAAGGAAGCTATAGAAATGTTTAAGTCATATTTCAGGCAATGGCCTTTCTGCTCTTTGCTATAAAGGGACCATTGCCCGAAATGATGCTTGGTATATTTTTGGAGGAATGCGACTCTTTAAAGACTCCTGCGCGCACCCAATTCGCCGCCTCAGTCTGTCCAGGCAGACAGGGCGGGGGGGGGGGGGGGATGTGCTCACTTTTGCCCATCGTGATGTTGGGGAATTCAAGTCACCATGGCTACAGTATCCCTGCTGTCGTTGACATTTCGCGGTGTTTTAACTTGCTACTCGACGTCTGTAATGTCACGATACATATGCTGATGTGACTTCCTATTCTTCAAGCTCCTCTGTGGGTCATTCTTGTAAAACAGCTGTTGGTTGAATGTTTAACCCACGTGAACAAATAAAATCAATCAAATTGTTCTTCATAAGCATTCGTATTCCCAGCTCACTGTGCATCTTCACTTCGCACCTCCTGGCTTTGACATTCCTCCTCAGACACTGGTGTAACCATCAACAAGGCCGATGCACACTTGATGAATGCAAAATTGAAGACAAGCCACAGTTGCGCCATTGTGGCCATGCAACTCAATCTACGGACCATATAATAAAAACACTAGTCTGTGCTCATTCAACAGAATAGCAATACTGAACAAACTCCCTTGAAGCCCTCTGACGGCCACAAGATCTCGACATTGTTATTTAGCTCCCCAACTGTATTGCCTTCGCAAGAATAGAATAGCACTGATGTTGACGACACCGCAGTGCCGGCACTTGCCGGAAGGAGCCGAGGACCGTGGTGACCGACCAGTGCGGGTGACGGAGACACTTGAGGGCCAGCGCCGTGAGCGCAATCCCCAGCACCAGCAGGCTCGCCACCACCACACCGGCCACCACGCCGGCGCCTGTGAAACAACGCACACGCCCCCCCCCCCCCCACCCCACCCGATGCACCACACATCTCTGTCTTGCTTACCTCACCGCGAGAGCCACGCGACCCGAGAGCAGACGTTGCAATGGCAAGGTAAATGCTTCATTGGTAAATACTGGGGGGGGGGGGGGGGCCCATATTGAACAGAGAGGGTGGTCATTGTCTATAAATATCTGGAATTGGTTCCAGCAAGCGTGACTGCCGATGAGGCACTGAATGTCAAAATTGGTCCCAAGAATACTGGTGGCTGAACTCATGCTGCTGAAATTATGCACTCCCTGAAGGCCGTGCGGCTGCTGGGATGTGTAAAGAAAATATTTGTATTTTCATGTGGAGAGACAAATATGGGAAGGTGACTTTTTAAAGTATTTTTGTGGCCATCTACAGACTTGCAATTCTAACATACATTATCCCAATCCTGGTTATTACAAAACCCTTACTCTAGCAGTTTGTTATTTAGCTCCTGAACCATATTGCCTCCGATTGGCATGGTTGGCTACGTCGGGAGCAAAAGAAGTTCACTATATATAGATCATATTATTGGTTCTTTCGGTAAAGTCACGTAGAAGGGAAACAATAAAATAATAAAAATATAAAACAATAAAATTCTCACGACGTTTCGACTGCAACACAAGCAATCATCATCAGGTGTTGAGGTGTTGATGATGATTGCTTGTGTCGCAGTCGAAACGTCGTGAGAATTTTATTGTTTTATATTTTTATTATTTCATTGTTTCCCTTCTACGTGACTTTACCGAAAGAACCAAGAATATGAATCCCTGCAGTCACGAAAGCTTTAAATCAACATTTGTATATAGATCATCACCAATCAGAACCGGCAACTAGGTGATTGAGGATCGCGGTATCGGATGAAATGCTGCTGCCCTGCCACTGACCGGTGGCCGGCGGAACGGGCCCACTGTCGACGCTGCCCCCATTGCCCGGCTGATCGCAGTGCGGCGGATCCCAGCCAGGGTCACAGTGGCAGTTCCCTTTACTGTTGCAAACCTGCAGGCGCGAGAGCACGGGGAGAGATTTACACACATGGTAGTATTGAAATTTACTTTGCAATTATCTCTTTAAATCTGGCTTCATAAACAAAACCGCTCGAGATATGAACCTTATGGCAGGACCCCGGGGTCCCAAATAAACGAAAGTCAAAATCGTTAATTAATTTATTTTTGGCGACTCCGTCCCACCACGCACATACACACCGCTACCCACCTGGCAAGGATCATTCTGTTGTCATGTCGTCCAAGCGCAGAGAGGACGAATGCGCAGAAGAGCTGAACAAGCGAATGCACTCCATGCTTGGGTATGGGCAGGATCATAAGTCTTATCCAAAGCTGCTCAAACTGCCTACACGACTTAAGTCCTTTATTTGTTACAACGGTATGCAGTGAAACTGCTCACTTATCTTAATTATTATTTGTGACCTAACAATGTCTGCAGCCAGGATAAATCGATGACAATCCTATTACCTGCAGATATTTAACAAATAAGATGCGTTACACCGTTAATTCCTCCTGTTTGATAAGACTTCTCTTGTCCGTATGCATCTGTGCAGATAGGTTTTTTTGCGGTTAAGCCATCGTCCCCACGTACCGCTCGTATCAATGCGGATAAGAGGAGCGGCGACCCACTACTTTGTAGAGCAACATTGGTATAAACGCTTGTTACAATATGAACAGCGCATTGAAAACACGTACTATTTTACGTACTATTTACAAAGTGTTCACAAATCCACACTGAGAAACACGATGATTGATAGAGGGGGTGTCAATAATTTTTTCGATAGTGTCTTTAAATAGAGGTACTGCAGGTAAGTAGTTTTCAGTTTTAAAGGCATAGTTTAACAAGACAACACTTGCCACCATCCTTCAAACCCATTGGTGAGAAAGAGCAAAGGTTTTGTTTACATTATAATATGTTTATGTGAGAGCCGGGGGCTTATGGGACCTCGAGGTCCCACCATGAGGTTCATATGTTGCATTATTAAATACTGAAAATGTTCAGATACTGGACTCGTGCATACATTTCCACATTTATTCTTTCTTTCGCTTGTTAACCCAGGAACGCCTCACTGGGTCTCAAGACCTTTTTTTTTCAGGAGGGCCCTGCCAAGTTATCCTAGTTGGGAGCGATGTTGCCGTTTGTAATCCCAATTGAGTAATTTGCTGGCAGTTTTTCAGCATTGGGATGTTTGGCCAATGCCAGTTACATTCGTATGTTATTTTATTTAAGGGAGGAAACCAGAGAACCTGGGGGAAACCCATGCAGAACGCAGGAAGAGAACATACAAACTCCACACAGGAAGGGTCGGGAATCAAGCCCAGGCCCTTCTGCTTTGAGGTGCGAGCGTCACCGCTGCGCTGCCACCACCCTGCCACTCGCGTGGTGTTTTGAGCGGTGCGAGATTGTGCACAATAAACACTTACCCCATGAGCGTTACATTTTGATGAGCACGCTTCAAATCCCAGGGTAGAAACGTTAACACACTCCCGATTGTGGCAGATCTGGTAAAAGAAGAAAACAATTTAGGAACACAGATGGAGGATTATTTAGAGAGCTCTCGAGATGTGTATGCAATCCTAAGCCGGCTGTGAGCAAATGAAAGACAAGACATGGGTTTCATCGCTGACTTGAGTGCGAGGAGTCCACGGGCTGCAAACTTATGCTCAGTTCCACGGCGACCGTCTTGAGGGGGTGGGGGACTCCGTGAGGCTGGCCAGCCGGCCGCTCACTCGGAGCCCCACTTCATCACGGCCCTGAGCCTAGGGTGGACCCTTCCAGGAGGCTCCTGCCGCATTGTGTTTTTATTTGAAGATGTTTTCAGCCAATTATTGAGTGTTTACA